ACCAGTTTAGAGCAGGGGTGGGGAACCTGTAGCCTCCAGTGGCCTTCTAGGTCCTTGGGTGTGGCTTTTTGACTGAGTGTAAGTTTTATAGAACAAACCCTTTTATTAAGGTGATTTGTTCTGTGAAGTTTGGATTCAGTCACGGGGCCACATTTGAGGATCTAGAGGGCCTCATGTGGCCTCAAGGTTCCCATGCCTCCTTTAGACTGCTATCCTTCCTGCTCTCCTCTCTCCTCCATCTCTTTATCAAAGGGGATAAAGCTTTTTGAGATAGGATCTTAGGTCTCATGCTCCAGGTGGGGAATGTGTCTGTATGAGGGTGGGGGATGGTATGATGGACGGTGTGTGTGTGTGTGTGTGTGTGTGTGTGTGTGTGTGTGTGTGTGTGTGTGTGTCCATTGCCCCAGATTGCAAAGAATCTAGGCAGTATCTATATTTAAGGTCAACTTGTATGTTAATTATTATTCTTAACAAAAGCCTTCTTGGTTATTAATATTTACATAGGCAATCCATAACTAAGTACTTATTTTCAAACGTTTTCTTTGCAATATCTACACAAAGAGCAGATGCTTATCTAAATCTCATTTAAACTTCTTGCATTTGTAAAATTAGGTTAGGAATCTTAGCCAGCCATCTCTCATTCACAGCATCTCAGTGGTTCATGCTTCTGGGTTTTGAGGAAGCTATGGTTTGACAGATGAATTTGAAATGAATAAAGGAAGGGAGCCAAAAAAAGTTGGGGGGGGGAGTTATTAGAAGTTTTCTGAAGTTCAGTCTAAGTTCAGCTGCCAAGTGTTCCCTAGCTTCTTATTTTCTCTGAAATAGTTCATAACTTCTACCGTCCTTCCAAGGAATTTCGCAGGCTACTGGTGTATAAATGCCCAGCAATCACAATAGTGTGCTGAAACCTTCAGTGAGGCTGAAATTCATCAACCCAGAACCAATTTATATACTCAATTTGGAAGAAGTTAGGTAAAGAGCCTGGAAATATTTCCAGCCGTGATTAAGTTATTGGGTTACCTGGCATTCCACTCTATTGATACCTTACCTGCTTTCTGACACAGTGGGTGCCTAATAAAGGTTTGTGTAATTGGGTTAAGTTGGATCGGAGTGGACTGAGCTGAACTAATGTGGGCCATAGGGTGTTGGACGTTATATGTAAGAATTTCTTTTCCATTTTAGATTGCAGCTTCTTGCCACCTACCACACAATATTTTTTTTGTCCTCAGAGAAACCAGAATCCCAGGACCTCCCTAAAATGGCTCTTAACAACCTCCAATGTGTTGTTATATAAAGTGTATTGCAACCTTTACACTTGAATTCTTCTGCTAATCAGTAATCTCAACTACATTTATTTTTCCCGTAAGGGGATAATTGTCAATACAGACCTACATGTGACGTGATTAGTCTACAGCCTCTATGAACATCCCTGATGGTGATGATGATGATGACTTTCAGCATTTGTTTGGGGACTTTTTTTTTTGCTTTTAAAAAATAAATGCATCACAGTTTAAAAATATGTTCCTCAAACTGGTCAAAGGTGACTATAGTCTTTTCATTTTTCTTTTTCTTTTCTATGTATAGATCTGTAATTTCATTTATGTAGAAAATTTTAATTGTAGAATTCCCTCCCCAATTATATATGTATGTATGTATCTATCTATCTATATATATCTATATCTATTAATATGTATATATATACATACACATACACACATACATATATGTGCATATGTGTGTATAAATATATGCACACAGATCAGCAGGAACTGACAATCTGTACGCTGAGAAACAAAGTGACTTGTCATTTTCCATATTCATTCTTTCATTCAATAGAGCAGTCAATCAATCAATCAACACTTATTGAGCACCTACTATGTTCTAGACACAGCAGATGCAAAGATAGGAATGATACTGTCCTTGTACAGAAGGAACTATTGGTTTCTCAGGAGGAAATCACGTGCACCAATCGACAAGTGTAAAACACACAGATTATATACACAGCAATGCTTGGGGGACAGCACAGTTAGCTGTGGGATCAAGATAGATCTCAATGAATTGACACTCATTTATTAAGCAGTGGCACAGTGGCTAGAGCAACGGGCATGTTGACAGGAAGACAAGTCAAACCCAACCTCTGACACTTTTAGTTATGGGATCCTGGGAAAGTCACAAGCTCTTTCTGCCTCAGTTTCCTCAACTATAGAATGAGGATAATAATATCATCTCTTTCCTGAGGTTGTTGTAATGTATGTCAAATGAGATAATATTTGTAAAGTACTCAGTGTATAGACATAGTAGGTGTTTAGTAAATGATTATTCTATTCTTTTTTATCAAGTACCTATCACTCTCCTGAATTCTACCCCTGACCTAGTGCTCCAAGTTCTGGCCCTGGTACCCTGCACTTTCATTGGTGAGCATTCACCAGATGTAACTTGGAAAGGAACTACCTTATTCATCATCTTCACATCATGCTGCTGTGAATGTACCCTTCCACACCCTCCCAATCCATTCTAGCTATGGTAATCAAATCACTACTACCAAAACACCACCCGGCTACTACTACCCTTTATAAGCAGGTTTTTAATTTTAGGAGGAAACCTCCTTGTGGCCTGAACCATCTTGCTCACATGGATTAGTCAGCATTCCTGAGATATAGCAACACTTCCCCACAGTGTTCTAGGGGACCCTCAGAGTTTGTAGGACCATTTCAAATTCTCATTATCGTTCACCATTATGCTTCCCTTATGGATAATCAGTTGTTACCTATTACTCAGATTTTAAAAAGCTTTTCAAAAGGAGACTTTATTATGGTAGTGTGTGGTACAAAACATCCTTCCCCCTAAAGCCTTTTACCAGTACATAAAGGATCCAGGGGAAAGTCGGTTCAATCATATGGCAAAGGAGGTAAAACACAGTTCCTGGATGTCCTTTGCTGGAGTCCTCAAGATGTTGTTTCATATAAGTTGGCTTCTTTTTAAAAATTTATATAATAAAACATGTCCATAGCATAATCAGTACAAGTTGGTTCCTTGTGGAGCAGGGATTCTTAATCAATATCTCTCTCTCTCTCTCTCTCTCTCTCTCTCTCTCTCTCTCTCACACACACACACACACACACACACACACACACATACACACACACACACACACACAGATTCCTTTACTAGTCTGGGGAAGCTTATGAATGGACCCCTTCCCAGAAACATTTTTAAATAATTGAAGGAAATGCCAAATTTTGCCAAAATAAAGATGTAATTTGCCCCATTGAAGTTCATGGAATATTTGAAACTTATCATCAGAAGTGTGAAGACTCTACAAGTGTAAGAATTCCACTGTGCTTAGCCTTTGCAACTTTTCTATACATTATCCAATCTGTCCTGGACGCTTGATAAAGCTAGTTCCATCAGTTTTTGGTGTCTCTGGACCACCCAAGAATGCTGATTAAAAATTCAAAATCTTCTTCTAGTGAGTTTAACTGGTACTTCACCAGTTGGGGGCAGGAAGGAGTGGGACCCTGAGGCAAAGAGGTTCTTCTCTTCACCTAGAAGCAATTTCTCATGGATTTGAGTGGAGACTTACTACTCCAATTCTCGTTTCCAATTTTATACAGAGCATAACCACTTCCAACAAACAACACGTGCAGATTTCTTGTCACACCTAGTTAAATGTCTTGATTGACCAGAAAATGAAAGAGAAAAGGGGTGGGAATGAGCATTTATTTAATACCTAGTGCCAGGTACCTCTGGTCGACTCATTTGATATTTATTCTCACTGAATGACTAACATCGTTTCAGCCACTTTAAGTCAGACCAGGTAATTGTCTAGTCTGACTCTTCCCTCCATCTCATAATTTGTTGTTTTGTTTGTTGTTCAGTTTTGTCTGACTCTTGTGACCCCATTGGATGTTTCCTTGGCAAAGGTTCTGGAGTGTTTTGCCAATTCCTTCCACAGCTCATTTTACAAATGAGAAAACTAAGGCAAGCAGGGTTAAGTGACTTGCTCAGGGTCACACAGCTACTAAGTGTCTGTGGCCAATTTTGAACTCAGGTCCTGCTGATTCCTGGTGCTCTATGCACTGTGCCATTTAGTTGCCCCTAGATGCATACACACAGAAAATGCATATGTGTCTATATCCATACTAAGTACAATAACTTTGGGAGGAAAGATAGCTAGAAGGGGGAGGATCAGGAGAGGTTTCCTGTAGAAGATAGCTTGAGTTCCTTTTGGAAGGAAATAATGAATTCCAAGTGGAGGCAATAAAGAAAGCATGACTCCTGGTTAGGGTTGATGGCTTGGACAAAAGTATGGAGATAGGAAATGAAATATCATATACTATAATTCCAGATACCTAAGTTTGGCTGGATTATAGAGTTCAGGAAGATGAGTATCCAATAAACTTGGAAAGGTAGGACTTGGACCTCCCTCTTTCTGATCCTAAGGTTCACCTTTCTCGGTCTCCCCTTTTGCTTAATACCATATTTACAATGGACTTTATAACTTTGTTTTTAAGGCCCAGTTGTAAGTGCCTGCTTTGTATAATTCTCAGCCCAATTTGCTAAGCCCTATTTCTAAGTTGCTTCTTTTAAAAATAAAAACAAACCAAGGAGAAAGGGGAAAAAAGCAACTCTATAAGATGCACCATTTCCCCTGTTGCGTCAGGATAATAAAACAGTTGTAATTTGCGGAGGAAATACATATTCTGGTCAGGGCCCCCTTTAAATAAATACTGTGGATTGCTAAATATGGAGGGAACAGGTGTTTTATTTAGTTTTTGCAGTCAGTGCAAGGGAATCTTTTCCATAAACATTTAATAATGGGGGGGGTTGTGTTTCTGTGCCTTTAATGTTCCTGTCTGAACAAGAGAGGGAAGGCTGCAGAGCCCTGACAGGCTCACTTGTTCATGCCTTTAATGTGCGATCTGTTTTCTCCAGTGGAGGGCACTCAGTGTATCACAAACGAAAGCATTAGCACCAAGAAGCCCCGAGCACCATCAGTCTCAGGGAAAGCCTTCGGAATTAGACACGAGCTGCCTCTCAGCCTAGCTACAAAGCGCTCTAGACCTGCCCTGCTCAATGGAGAAACAGAGCTTGCCTCCCTTCTGAAATCCCCGGGCTCGGCTGGGCTCTCCTCCAGCCCCGGGAGGGAGGCCTACTTGCTCCCAGAAGTGAGGGGGGCCCCAGAGGATGCCTGGCTGGAGCTGGGCATGGCCAAAGGCAGCGCCATAAGGAATGCCAGGTACTGGGGGGAAGATCTTCAGAGAAGTTGCTTGCCTTTCCTGCGATGTGCTAGGGCCCCTCCACAGGGATTGTCAATTTCAGCCTGGGGCCCTCTGGTCAATTACACAATGGCCCTTAGAGCCTAGAGCCTCTTCCCTCCTCCCTCCCTCCCCCACCTGCTTCCTCCCTCCCCCCTTCCCCAGCCCCCATTTCTTCTTTTTTTTTTCTTTTCTTTTCTTTTTTTTATTTTTCCCTTGTCCTCTCTGGGGAACTTTGTGTGGGTTCCTGGCACACATGCCCGATCATGATGGTTGTGAGTGACAGCTGTACCCATGGCATGAAGGCTGTGGTGAATTAAAGACCAGGAAACCAGAAAGAAGAGACCTGAGGGAGGAAGGAAGGAAGGAAAGGAAGAAAGAGAGGGGGAGCTGCTTTTGGATGACAAAGGATGGGTAAGTGAACTTTTGTTACTTCCTTCTCATCAAAGCCCTAGCTCTGGGGGGACAGACTCAGCCTTGGCATTAAGGCTGACAGAAGGCTAGGGGGTGATGGGGGGTGGTAGCTAGCAGTAGGACATTACTTGGCCAGGTGACTCACTGGAGTTGCTACAATATTTTTAGATCATTCCCCTCTACCCTTTCCCCCCTGCAGCCTTCCCCCCAACCCCCCAGTATACAATGGCTCTGTAAATGCACAGAAAGGAGTTGACCAGACTCTAAAAAAGGGATGCCTCCTCAGATGATCTCTAGCTGCTCCTGCATAGCCACATTGGGATCTGTGGGTCACACAAACACAGAGCTGCCTTCTGATTCTGTGATAATATTACCCATACTTTGAGTCTTTTTGGCTGTCAGGAGGATAGTTAACACTTTCCAGTTTGTGTGTGTTTATGTGTCTGTTTGGGGGGTGGCATTGTTACTTTAGAGGTGATTTCACCAGCATTGTTCCTGTATTTGAAGCCAGAGCCCTAACCCAGCTTCCAAATTTCAAGCAGTCATTTGCCAGCCTTATTTTTTGAAGTGTTACTGTCTTCCCCCCTTCTCTGTAGCACCCCCACCCCCTTCTCCTGTCTGGAATAATTGGAACGTATTTCAGTGAGACTGGGACTGGCGAGAAGAGAGCACAGCGCAAGATCAGGGTCTAAATTAAAAAGAAAAAAAATCCATTTCACTGGAAGACAGGATTTTTAGATGAAGGACCTGTGCTGATTGCCTCTTGTTTTAAAATTGGGAATATGGGAAACAGAAAACTGCAGTCAACCTAAGTCTTTATTTTTCCTCCCCCCCCCCGACTCCCCCGAAAAAATAATAAAACCATTATTGATAGAGGAGAGAAGAGCTTTAAAATCCAAACGACAGGGAAATGAAAGCTGATTGCTAGAAGCAGTCAACTTTGCGGGAGCCGAGCAGTCCTGACATTACTGAGGGTTGGGGGGGGGGCAGGGAGGTCGCGGACTTGAAGGAGAGAAAGTAGTCTGATCTCTGTTCCCTTAATCAGTCCCTGAATAGGAAAGAGCGATTGACTGTATTCAGTAACATAGCTCTTCTACCCACGGACAATTTCTTGCCGGGTGGGGAGCGTTTCACGAGGCTCTGGCGAGGGAAACTTTGCAGTCTCCGTTGCTCGCCACGCATGGATCACGGGCAAGGGACCCACAAAACGCAACTATCTTCTTGTATGTTTATTACGTATGCATTTATTAAGAGCCTGGAATTGCCGCTCTGTGTTATTAGTCTCCACGCCACGCTCCATTGGCTGCCGAGATCCGTCCCCATGCCATCTCCCAGACCTCGCATCCCAGCTTTCTTTTAGGAGAGGGGCACATATTTTATGGCAGGGGAAACTTTACAGCCTATGAACTCTTCTCTCTGCAGTTATGTTAAACAATCACATTTTCCCTCAGTCAGGATTTGCAAGTGGTGGGTTTATTAAGTAAGACCCCTCCCTCCCCCCCTCCCCGCCCCCTTAAATCACAAGAAGGCACACTTCACTTCCTTCCGTGGCTCGCGTTCAATACAGTGACTTGGCAAATATGTTACTTGTTAGAACTGTGGTGTCAGGTGATAAGAAAATCCCTGCAACGCATCATGCTGGTGAACATGCGAACCGCTGGAACCCGAGGAGGTTGTGCCTAGCTCCAGAGGCCCATAAATCATTGCCAAAGTAATTGAGCACCAAGAAAGAGACACTTTCTTAAGAGCGCCTATGCAGTGATAAGAAAAGCATGCCTTAGGAAAAGGGGGAAAGGAAAAAAAAGCAGTAAGCTGCCTTTACACCTCCCCACCTGCCGAAGAATTCCAAAGCCCCTCCTCCCCCACGGAAAGCTCCTAGGGAGAGATTTCCCGAGCCTCAAATGCCCACTTGTTTTCTTCTTTCCCTATTGTAGGTTTCCATTTGATTAAGCAGCTGAGAGGCATGAGCGTGGTACTGGTGCTGTTGCCCACAGTTCTGCTTGTGATGCTCACGGGTGCTCAGAGACCTTGCCCCAGGAACTGCAGATGCGATGGGAAAATTGTGTACTGCGAGTCTCACGCCTTCGCAGACATCCCCAGGAACATTTCTGGCGGGTCCCAGGGCTTATCGCTGCGGTTCAACAGCATCCAGAAACTGAAAGCCAATCAGTTTGCGGGTCTCAATCAGCTCGTGTGGCTCTATCTGGACCATAATTACATCAGCTCTGTGGACGAGGACGCCTTTCAGGGGATCCGGAGGCTGAAGGAATTGATTCTGAGCTCCAATAAAATCACCCACCTGCACAACAAGACATTCCACCCGGTTCCTAACCTCCGGAACCTGGACCTCTCCTACAATAAACTGCAAACATTGCAGTCAGAGCAATTCAAAGGCCTACGGAAGTTGATCATCTTGCACCTGAGGTCCAACTCCCTGAAGACTGTGCCCATCCGGGTTTTCCAAGACTGCCGGAACCTGGACTTTCTGGACCTGGGCTACAACCGCCTCCGAAGCCTTTCCCGGAATGCTTTTGCGGGCCTCTTGAAGCTGAAGGAGCTCCATCTGGAGCACAACCAGTTTTCTAAGATCAACTTTGCTCACTTTCCCCGACTCTTCAACCTTCGCTCGATCTATTTGCAGTGGAATCGGATCCGCTCGATCAACCAAGGCTTGACGTGGACTTGGAGCTCCCTTCACAACTTGGATTTGTCAGGGAATGATATTCAAGGGATCGAGCCAGGCACTTTTAAATGCCTGCCCAACTTGCAGAAGTTGAATCTGGATTCCAACAAGCTCACCAACATCTCTCAGGAGACTGTCAATGCCTGGATCTCTTTAATATCCATTACCTTGTCAGGGAACATGTGGGAATGTAGTCGGAGCATTTGTCCCCTTTTTTCTTGGCTTAAAAATTTCAAAGGAAATAAAGAGAGCACAATGATATGTGCGGGGCCTAAGCAAATCCAGGGGGAGAAGGTCAGCGATGCCGTGGAAACGTACAACATATGTGCTGAGATCCAGGTGGTGGTGACAGAGAAATCCCATCAGGCCCCGCAAACTCCCCAGAAGCCTCTGATTGTTCTCAAACCCACGGTCTCCAAACTGGAAACCACTCAACCGACTCCAATCACACCGAGCCCTTCCCCGGGTTTTCCGATGCCTGGCACAGAGCCAGAGTATGAGCACGTGTCGTTCCACAAGATCATTGCTGGCAGCGTGGCCCTCTTTCTCTCTGTGGCTATGATCCTCTTGGTCATCTACGTGTCTTGGAAGCGTTATCCGGCCAGCATGAAGCAACTCCAGCAGCATTCTCTCATGAAGAGACGCCGGAAAAAGGCCAGAGAGTCTGAAAGACAAATGAACTCCCCGTTACAGGAGTATTACGTGGATTACAAGCCAACAAACTCTGAGACCATGGATGTATCCGTTAATGGATCGGGGCCTTGCACATACACCATCTCTGGCTCCAGGGAATGTGAGGTATGAACCATGATCCTCCTAAAAGCATTTCAGCTGCTGGGAAGGAGAGGGAAATGTTTGAAGCGCTTGAGGTGTCTCTGATCACTAGAAAGATTAATGAGCCTTTTGCTTTGGGGTTTTGCTCAGTGTGAAAGGTTATTTAATTAAATTACAACCACCAGGAAAGTGACTGTGGTTATTTTTAAAGGAGTTGAGACTTGAAGGAAGTTCATTCAAGGATGAGATTAAGTTGGAATAAACCTCCGTGTTACAGCATCTACTTCTTAAAGTTTGTACATAGGGGTTGGACTTTTTAAGAACTGTTTTTGTTTCTTTTGTCTTTCTTTCCTTTTTTTTTTTTTTGGTATGGATTTGATGTCTGGTTCTTGGTTTTCTGGTTTGTTTATTTTTTTTTTAAGAAATATGAATGAAGGAGGGGATATGTTAATAAAAAAAAATACCAAAATTGCTGGATTTGAAGAGGATATAAACCAAAGAGAAATTGACCAAGGGTTGATTTTGCTGTAAATGTTTCAGTTTCTAACTTAAGTAGGTAATAGCTATGTCTAACACACAGGGATACCTGCCACTTTCTACTTTCCATCTCAAACTTTATACCAACCTAGAGAATGTCAGGAGTCTGCTCTGCCAGAAATGCAAGGAGGTTTTATTATTATTATTATTATTATTATTATTATTATTATTATTATTATTATTATTATTATTATTATTATTTCAATGTGTGACTTTCCCTGTCATCAGAAGGGCCTGTGACATTTTTTTCTGGTTTGTTTTTAAAGGCATATTATGTTTGAGTTTTTGCTAGTTGTCTGGAATCAGAGGATTTGTGTACCTGTAACAACATGTCAAGGGATAGCCTCTACAGGGCTGTGATACTATAGGTGACTTAGCCATTATACAATTCAAGGCATGAGATGAACTGTCTGTCATTGCTGGTGTCATCCCAGAAAGAAATGATGTGAATTGTTAATCTCTTTGACTAAAACTGACCACAAATAACGTTACAGAGAAGGGCAGGGGATTGAGTTTTGACTATTTTCTCTTTCTGTACATTTAGCCTCACCTAATGTTTCAAAGCGGTGTTTTAAAGGATTGCCTCTTAGCTTTTGTTTTTAAGGTTTGAGGGAAGAAATATTATCAGTGATGAACATACATTTTGAATCCTTTAAGTCCTAAGATAAATTATGGGTACATAATGAAGACCAGAAAAAAAAAGTTACAGCCCCCTTAGTCCCTGCCCCTAGCTCATAATTAGGGATATATTAATAGTATTCTAAGACAAAGTTAACCTTAATACATGAATAATTATGGTGACACTATCATCCCACTACTCTAGTAAAAGGAGGGGCTCAGAACTGGCAGGAGGCTGTCTGATATTCTATTTACAGTTACTTGCCTTTGGAAAAGAGATTTTCCATGAGAGTTTTAAGCCATGTGACTCACAACACCCTCCCCCCATCCTGCCCACTGTTTCCATATCAGCTAAACAATATAGTAAATTTCATCTAGCTTTTAACTGTCTCTACTCCAACCAGACTTCAATACTCAAGCTGGTAAGTAACTAAAACACTTTGGGGCAAATCACTGAAGTTTAAATAACCTACAAATTAGCACAATGAGGACTATTGAAAAGCATTTCAAATGGTGAATTTTTTATCTTTCTTTGTATATCTGATACAGTTTGAGAATCAATAGGAAACGAGACATCCAGGTTATAAATTCCTATCTGAATACTGGGTGGTAATGGAGGACCTTCTAAGAAGGCCTGCATTTTGAGCCTTCATTAGCACTTTAGAATGCTAACTTTGATGAAGAACCTCCTCTCTATTGGTGCCTTATGTTTTCTACCCACTTAAATGCTGGGCAAGATGGAATGGAAGGGATGACCATCCTCTCCACTAAGTTAATTGGGTATCCTTGCTTTATCTAATGACTGATGCTTTTTCCTTCCCTTTGGAGAAGTACTTAATAGGAAGGAAATTCACAGAGGCATTTGAAAGCTAGTAGGGACATTAGAGATCACCAAGTCCAATCCCATCATTTTACAATTGAGGCAACTGCATCTTTGGGAGAGAAATTGTTTTAGCTAAAGCAAAACACCTGATTAGCACCACACCCAGGACTAGATCACATTTCACTTGCTGTAATATCCATTATTCTTATTGTTCCTGTTGTTTTTCATACTATGTCTTTCTCTTTCCAATGCCAAAATGTGTGAAGAAATATTTATACAGGAAACATTTATGTAGATTTTCTTTTAATAGAGGGGTCTCAAAGAAACCTTTATGAGTTGGTAAACCATTGTTCCTCTCAAAAAAAATATCCATAGTGCAGTATTTATGAAGGAAATACTGGATATCAGACATGCAGAAAACCTACCTAGCTAGAGAGACCAGTTATGATATCAGTATCTTTTTTTTAAACGTCTGTACTATTTTTGCTAGAATGGTTCCTGAAAGAGAAAAACAAAACAAAACAAAGCAAAACTAATCATGTCCATTAGCTAAATTTAGACAGTCAAGTTTTCTCATGTTCCTCATGTTCTATAAATACAGTGGGATTTTCTCAGTTGTTAAATTCTCTAAGAAACTCAAAGAGTTATTAATGCCCTTGATTGTGCAGAACATGAAACAGTATCCAGAAGCCACCACAAAGACACTATAGGCTAAGATAATATTATCTTTGATGCCATAGTTAAAAGTATTCACTTTTGAAAAATGATTATAAACCATATAGTACTTACAAGTCAAATTACAGAAAGGAAGATTATAGACATATAAATATATATTATACACACAGAGGTATATGTCTCTCTCTCTCTATATGCATATATATACACAAATATATGTGTGTATATACATATATAGACATACATATATGTTTCTACTTTTTCAATTTGATTTATAAGCCATAACGTACACATATGTGTATATATATATGTCTTTATACATACGTAAATATGTAAACATGCATAATATTTGGCAATCATAACTTCTATTAAATAGAAAGCAGACATGAAACAATTATTAACAATGAATATTCTGATGGAAGGAATTAAAACACCTTAAAAATAATAGATTCCTAAGGCACGATGTTTGCAGTTAGGGTTGTCACACTGTGGTTAGCCTAGCAGGGTTCCTTACTACTCGTTCACAGAGTGTGACTAAGGAGAGAAGAAGGAATGTTTAAACAACTCTTCCCTAACTTTAATGTGTTGATCGAAAGAAAAAAGAAACTAAATCGTTACATTTTCTTGCTTTTTCTCATGATATTTTATTGATCTTTTGCTAAATGGAACCATCTGACTCACATCCTGAAGGACTTTTCTTCCATCCTTAAATACGTTTACTTATTTATTTATTTATTTACTTATTTATTTATTTCTCAATGAAGGGGTCATACAGAATAAACCAGTGGCTGCTTCTGTCTCTGAGTGTTTCATTTTTAATTTTATCATTGAAGCTAAATCATTATAGGATTAATGACCTTAAGTAAACCAAGAAATTGGGGAAAGGAGACATGGTGGAGAGTACAGTGGAAAGAATAAATTCATCATCAGCCAGAAAATCTGAATTCACATTCTTCTGCGTTTGTGATGTGTCATCTGTATGACCTTGAGCAAAACTGCTAGGAGACTCCTAAGGACCCCTCTAGCTCTAAGTCTGCATTCCTATGATTTTTAATCTTTGCTTTTAAATAAAAAATACCACGGTAAAATCTAGGAAAAGAGAAAATGAATCCTTGAAAAAGGCACCTTATTGTAATCCCTTCAGGGTTAAACAATGATAGTTTTAAAAGCTGGTGAATGATTCTGTTTTTGTTTTTGTTTTTATAGGGGTACATGTAGCTGTAGGTTGAGTTCATTTGCATTTCTTTGGGATTTTAAATGTCAGCTTGTCTCTATCTTTATTGGTTCCAAGAAGATTGTGACTATGCAGTCCTAATCCCTTTTCTATTCTCTGGCTAGGTGCAAACAATCCAGTTTCCTATTTCTCTTGACTATTTTGTAGACACTTTAGACACTGACTTTTTCCAAGTTCCTGAATGGCATCACTTCAAAGGCTTGGAAAGGTAATAAACTTATACAAACATAAAATGGTGGTAGGCTCAGATCCATTACCCTTCTTGATCCATCATCTCATAAACAGTTATCCCTACACACAAATGTAGAAATTGTAATAAAGAAAAAAATATATAGTGACACCCTTATATCTTGTATGATATAGATGGTTTGCAATATTCTTACAAAAGACTTCACAACGTTGTTTTTTCCTAAGCCAGCATTTTCATTTTGATTAACAAGAATAAGTGGAAAAAAGAAAGATATGTATAGCAAGTCAAATAAAACTGGATGCCTTTCTTAGGCCTAAGACTATTCTGCCTACCTGTCTTCTTGGGCTACTAGTTTAGATCATATTGGTAACCTAACATTTCTATGGTTTTCTATTGTCATGACATTTTGCTCCTTTGTCCCATTAAATTGTGTCTATCTGCATAAACTGATTTTGAGGATTAAAAAAAGCGAGAAAATAATTCCTCCAAATCATTTTTCTGAAAGAATTCATTCAAGTACTAAATAACTGATATCAAAATCTGGCTATTCTTCACAATCCCCAGTTGTCTGTCTGGACTCAAATGTTTTTGTTTTTAAACTTGTTTTTAATGGTTGAACTTAATACTTTTTGTTGTATATGGTTACTAATTGTCTTTAGGCAATGATACAATAAATTGACATGTGTAAGGAATCTGCCAAGCTGAAGATGAAAGGGAATCCAAGGCCCTCCAGGCTTTGGCCTATGATGAGCAGTATAGCTTTAAAATCCTTTTCCTGTTAGATACACAATTTGTCCAGTATTTGACTCTATCTTCTCCAGCTTACATATTAGTCCCCCGTGTCATGGCACATGGGGACAGAGAGAATTGAGTGGGGAGCTTGAGGCCTCACTATCAGCCTTGGAGTACAAAGCATTAATCAATGTTTTTTACCATACTCAGTAACTTCTTTCTTGAAGTACCAACAATATTCAGAAATGAATTATTCTTATCTTCTCCAGCCTTCTCAGAAATTTTAACTCTACATATAGTATATTGCTTAGGGACAGTATTTTAAGACAATATTGGGTATGTGGTTTTTTGCTCCTGCAGGACTTTCATCTTCTACAATTAGAATAACACAGAATTCCCTAAATGACTGAAGGTCCATAAATACTCATGTAAAAGATGGGGCTTTGACACTGGGGCATTATGGATGGTGATCCATACAGTGAATACCTGGGAAAATGGGATGATCTCATCAGTGGAAAAGCATAAATTTAATGACAAAATTTAATATTTTTTGCAGTTTCCTTTAAATTAAACAGCTCTAGGTATAATAGCTGAAATAATTTAGGGGTATTTTCAGTGTTCATGAACATAGATTAACAGTAAAAGGGAAATTATCATGATACTTTTCTCCTGTAAATTCTACTCCCTTAGAACTTTAAGCCTAAATTAGGAAGCTGCAAATTTGTCCTGTGGGAAAGAACCTCCTATCCACTTACCAAATCTTCTCCCAGAAACTGCTAGGAAAGGGCCAAGGCCATGGGCAGTGCTCTATAACAGATTTAAGTAAGCTATGTTTTCCCTACTGAGGAACATAAAGATTAAAATAAATTTGGCCATTAGAATGTTACCCATTGGAAGAGAGCTTTATGTTAGGGTCAAAATAGATATGCTGGCAAACAATAGGAAGACTGTGGACTGGGTGAATCCAGAGCTCATGCATGCTAATCGAAGGTTAAAGGAATGGGAAACACATCAAAAACTTGAAATAGTCAATGCTAAACCACTCTTCTACCCTCTGCAATGCATCTGTTAAGGTTTACTTTGTGCCAGCTGAGGTGCTAGGCTCTGAGGATAGGAACTTGCCTTCTCTCAAAAGATTGCTAATATTCGTAGAGATAGATAGATATAGTGGTAGAGAGATGTATCTCTACCTCTCTAATCTATGTATCTATCTGTCTATCTGTCTGTCTGTCTGTCTGTCTGTCTGTCTATCTGTCTATCTATCTATCTATCTATCTATCTATCTATCTATCTATCTATCTATCTATCATCTATCCATCTGCCTCTGGTAAGTTCTGCCTCTAGAACTTAAACATCGGGGATTTTGGATATACTTATTTCAGGAAATGGAATTCTATGAATCCATTACAAGTTGGATATAAGGTGACCTTGTATGTTTAAGAAAGCATTTCAGCATTTTGTTCAATCTGTGACTTTATTAATGTGGTTATATATACATACATGCATACATATATACACATAAATATATGTATCTGTTTATATAAGTGCATATATAGAGATAGACAATATTATTTTAATTGTATTAATAGACATGTATATTACATAGAAGGGGCATCACAGTATAGAGTACAGGTGGGCAGATGAACAGTCAGGAATGCCTGGATTTAAGGTCAGTCCCTGATGTAAGATGGCTATGTGTCCCTGGCCAAGTTACCGAACTGGTCAATGCCTCAAGCAACCTTCTTAAAAAAATATTCAGAAATCTCTTGTGTACGGGGGGGAAGAAGGCTTTATATCAGAATTTCCTATGCCAATGAAATTACAGATCTATCTCCCAACCCCCAATAAGAAAACAACGTCAATATTTTAAAGGTAATGTATGTAGAGGCACTGTTGAATAAGGGCTAGAGTTCTGCAATTGGACTCAAGAAGACCTAGGTTCAAATTGCTCCTGCTAACTGTATGACCCTGGGCAAGTCAATTAATCTCTGTCAACTTCAGATTCCTCATCACTAAAAAAATTGGCATAGGGGTTGACTACCTTCCTGGAAATGTCAAACCACTTCTATACCTTCGCCAAGAAAACACTATGGACAGCATTGGTGTGCTATGGTCCATGGAGTGAAGAAGAGTCAGAAACGACTAAATGCTGAACAACAGAGTTTCCTTCTAGCTTGGAATGCATGATGCCATGATGACAGATGAAATAATAACAAGTTATGGTCACTTTTGACCAAATCTTCTTTTTCCAAACAATTCTATGCAAATGGACAATTATTACATCACTGATCATTTCTTATGCTTTCTTTTTATGAAGCCATCCTGAATCATTCTGGATTAGTTCTGTTTTTCTTCATCACTATGCAAATTCATTGGGATTCTCTATGTTTACCTTCCAAGTCAATGTGGTATAATGCAAACAGTGCTGACTCTGGAAGCAGATGAAATGTGTTCAAATATTGCCTCTGCCACTTTTTGTGTGACATTGGTCAGGTCACTTAACTGCCTTAGGTCTTAATTTCCAGTTTGTAAAGATGAAGGTCTTAACCTGGATATCTGAGGTCCTATCTAGCTCTTGTGCTGAGCTGATAAATGCATACATATTCACATGTGATTTGCCTGGAGTTGTCATCACTGAGTACTTTGTACTCTTACTTACCAGTCAGAGATAGAGCTATTGCCATTGATAATTCCAACAAAGATCCTCATCATTTGTTGCTTAATTATATTCATGCCCTGATGGAAACATCTTGAGTTTTTTTTTTCCTCTTGCAGTGACACCTCTCCTATGTCTGTTCTAGAACCATGAAAAATAAAAATAAAGTAAATGCAAACATGAAGAAATTGGCATGAAATTAAAACTCATGAACCATACCCCTTTGGTGTGCTCCTAGAATCATTTTAATCACTGGTCACTCCAAAGCTACACTTGAATAGCACAGTCAACAATAGGGTTTTTTTTTTTAATGTGCTTGATAATTTGGATGCAGAGACATTCAGATGGAATGGACATCAGTTCTCATGGTTACTATCTAAGGCAGAGCACATTTTCAGGATACTAATGCATCTTTGGTGTCTCAGCAAGCAAAATGCCCACTTGGAGACCATGATGTATAGAGGTACCCAAATGGATCTTTCCATGGCAAATACGCAGCCATTCTATATCAGACACTATTCAAAACTGGCCGTTTATGTGCCAGACACTAGGGATGCAATACAAAAAAAAAAGACCTGCCCTCAAGGAGCTTATATTTTACTAGAAGCATACATTTAATTAGTGGTGAAATTTTAACTCTATCATATTGAGAAAAAGTTGGAAAGGATAGAAACGAGAGGGAGAGAGAGAGAGAGAGAGAGAGAGAGAGAGAGAGAGAGAGAGAGAGAGAGAGAGAGAGAGAGAGAGAGAATATGAATGATCTGTGATTTAGAAAGCTTGAGTGACCTCCCAGAGTGGTTACTTGCTATGCCATATATATGAAATTCTATGCTTATGTAGTAGATGAGTTCAAGAATTTGAGTCAAAAAAGATTAAGTGGCTTACCCAGGTTCCCACAACCAGTGTCAGATACAGGATTTGAACCCAAATTATTTGAATATATTTTTATACCTATACCATGTATCTCTATCTATCTGAGTATTTCTGAGATTTGTGATTTCGGCAGTATAGAACTTTGTTTTTGTTTTTCAATGATGAATATCACAACTTTCTCATGCTTTTGTAGATGGTATGAATCAGGAACACTGAACCTGAAGTCAGGAAAACTTCAGTTCAAATCCAGCCTTAGATACTTACTAGCTGTGTGATCCTGGACAATTCACTTAACATCTGTTTGCCTCAGTTTCCTCAAATATAAAATGGGGATAATAATAGTACCTACCTCTTAGAGTTGTTTTGAGGATGAAGTGAAAAAAAAGTGCTTAAAGACAGTATTTGATAATGTAATAGATTCTATATAAATGTTTATTCCCTTCCATTCTTGTGTGTATCTTGGTCAACATTGACACCGTGGTGAAGCTTATGGACCCATCGAAGAACAATAAGTTAAAATTTATAAAATAAACTACAAAGGATTACAAAGGCAACCAACTATATTTTACCAGTAGTAACCGACATTTTTAAATTTTACAGATGCTTAGGTTAAAACTCCCTAATATAAATTAAACAGTATTCCAAATACTCTTCTAGGCATGTAGGCATGAATGACTCCCAATATGCATCACACTGATTGCCTAAGTTTCATCTGCATGCTTCAGTCATAGAATCCTTGAAGAAAATGTGGAGATCA